AGATATATTTCTATATAAATATATTTAGAAACATTACGTTTATTATCGATAAGATATTTTATTCGAATAATACTATCATCTCCGACATGCATATATATACATATATGTCGATGAAGTCTAAAGCATTAGATTTTTGTGGTCGTTCGGCTATAATACACATATACGCACATACCCACGCATTCACACATGCCCGCAACACTCACACCCATCGCTGTGTTTATGTTAAATTTGTGGTTTCTGTTTGATTAGTTCTCTTATAATGAATAAATATACATACTAATGTATGTTATGTGTTTTGCATATGATTTTTTCAGTTGAATGACAAATAAAAAATAAACAAAATAGTAGTATTCTTTCTTATACTGTCGTTTCCTGTCTATCTTGTCACTGTTCTTGGTGTTGTTCTTTTCTTTCTACTTGACTTGTGCTTAGATACGTGTGGTGAACGCCTTCCGGCAAGGTCTAGACGCCCGTTACGGTGAGCACACCAACACTTCGCTGGCAGAGGTGCTGCGTAAGCAGACTTCGCTGAGCAAACGCCTATCGGAGACATCTTCCATTGATTATGCCGATAACATACCCGATGAGCTGACCATACCAGAAATCGATGTTGAGCGGTTATCATCGCACAGTCACACCGAAACTGCTGTTTAGATGGTTAAACGACACAGTTACATGCATACCTACAGTCATCCAATTGCCTACCAATCCGTACATTATACCTACATACGCAAACACATACGTTGTACACACTCTTAGATACACGAATACAATATTAATTAAGCTAACATCCTTAAACAAATAATGAAATTACGGCTAATAAGAAATTAAAAAAAAAAAATAACAAATATATTCAACTCATGCACACATGATAATTTATTAAACGAATGTATAGTTCGTTTGGGAGTAGAATAGGTCCGGTTGAGAACTCCTAGAACGGTGCAACAACAGTCACCGCGACAGCAATCAAACTGCAACAGTAACAGTAACAGCAGCAAGTTTAGTCGATAGTCTGTTAAGAGCGCTGCCACAAGAACTATGGAATTCTGCATTTTATTTTAAATGTTGTTGCACACCGCACTGTGCTGATTCATAGTTACGTATAAATTAGTGTTACAGTAAGTAAGAAAAAGTATGTACAGACTCACACATACACATACCTATATACATTAAAAAAAAAAAAAAAAAAAAAAAAAAAAAAAAAAAAAAAAAAAAAACTTAAATTCGAGTGGCCTGAATACTGAAAGCTGTAATAACTATTATACACACATACGTATACATACATGTTTATGCAAAATCATACAGACATGTATGTATTTATGTAATACCCCCATTAATCTATACGAAACCGATACCCAGCCCACGACCAGCACAGCAATCAAACCGGGTAGACGATTGAAAAAAAAAATAAAAGTGCGTAAAAGCCATGTCGCCTAAAATTTAGTCATAAAAATGATTACTACATATATACATACATAAACGAATAAATGAAACAGCCTTATCGTTTTTATTATTAAATTGATTTTTCAAAGCAGGAGTAACAGCAACAGGGCGTGCGGATAAGTAAATATATGCCAATGGTAGTACCACTGTTAAAAGACCTACTGATTACGCACAGAGCAGCTCCGTTACTTTAAAAGGTAACTAGAAGCTCTATTGTGACGTCATATTTTCAGATTTTACTGTTATGACGCTTGGCGGCCACTTCACCAGAGATCGGTTAAGTGCTCCAAGACAACGAAAATGAAGTATATATAGTAAATACTTTTAAAAATGGTCAGTCACTAATTTTATTACCTTACAATAAAGAATCTTTCGAAAGCAGCAAGCCAATATGTTAGAAGGAAAGATGGATCGCACAGTTTTCGCCATTAGTTATGTTTATTTATGCCAATGTATCTACACATTCAAATATAGTACACATTGAAGCTGCATCAATAAAGGTCCTACTCACACCTGCTGCCATGTCAGAAACATCCGGTAGAATTAAATAAAATTGGAGTATTTATTACAAAATCGAAAGCTGGGTGTGCCTAATTGAAGCCTAATGAAACTTGTACTCCTGGTATTATCTGTGGTCGTCAGATTCGTAGCACGCTTCTCATATGAAACGGATGTATTCAAATTGTGGAGATCGTCTTATTAATGCTTTATATGAACATTGTTATAACTTCATATTTGATATTCAGTTAACAGTAGCCTGTACAATTACCCTACATCTATGTCTTATAAATGGGCCATAAGTCTACTTAAGCTATAATAAAGTTTGCCATCAACTAATGTTGAAGCAAACGCTAATGCTGATGGCCGAAAGTGATAACCAGTGGCAGCAAGGTCCCGAAAATCATGATAATTAACTCGCTGTAGCGCAGGCCTTTGTTGCTACTGAGCAGCTCGCTAGGAATGGCTGGTTCTCGCGATTCTTCTAGCATATGGTATTCGTATTGGGCCTTACGATGATGATTGCTGCTGTGTCCGCCCTGCATCAATTCTGGCAATACATGCACGGTCGCCACATACAAAAATGTGCCAGCAGAGAAGAGCATCGCGATACCAGTGGCATTCACCGAATTTAGCGTCTCCTTTTGCTCCTGCCCAATGCCAAAATAAGTGAGTAGCGTTAGCAGTGGAGCCGACAATGAAAATATGCCCAGATGCTTCCGTATTTGCTTTCGTTCCACTTTGTCATGCAACAGAAAGCTAACCAAACCAAATGCAGCTGGCGCCTTATGCAGCATTATGGCTACAAAAACAATTATTTCAACATCTTGGTGACTGGTCGTTGCCGCAGCACCTAACGCGACCCCATCAGCTGAAAACGTCAAAGGTCAGAGGAAGGGGCTTAATTATAAAATATTTGATAGCACCTGCAGCATGCACTACTAATCCAAGAGTTGCTGTAATATTCCTTTCATTTTCACTGCCTTTGCTGCTTTTACGTTGAGAAACTTGATCGACGAGCATCATAAAAACAAAGCCCAACACCAGGGATAATCCAATTGTACGCGAATAATCGTGTGTTCGATGCGTCTCATAAAAGCTAGCTTCATCAAGTTTGGCAATATCATCAAGTCTTTCTGCTACTACTGATGCTGTAGCCTTAGGTCGACGGCTGTCCATATATAAAGATCGAATGCCTTCTGGTATAATCACTGTCAGCGCTGTGCCAACTAACAAACCAGCACCCAGTACTGTGACGAATTTTAGCTTTTCCTGAATTGAAAGAATAATAAATGGATTTGATAAGACCGGGCTTTTTATATTATTGCTAGCTATATAAACACCTCACTTAATTTCATAACGAGAGGTATGCTTCCAGCTAGATAGGATCCAACTAGCATTACAATTACCAATAAAATTAATATAATAGTTTCATCAGCCATTTTATACTTTTTTTTTTTTTTTTTTGTTTTCTTTTTATGCTTGCCAACTCAACGATTAATTTTTCTTTACGGTTGTCTATTTTCTAGTGATGTAAAGAATCATCGATGCATCGTGCATCGATGTTTTACTATCCATTTTTACCGATGTTTTCGCTGATACCGATATTGAATGATGCATCGATGTTTTGCAAAACATCGCAACCTTTTTTCTTTTGGGAAGGTATGAAAAGTACCTATCCTAATTTATTCAAAATCGCAATCACATATTTTTTCCTGTTGATGGTATCTTCTGTTCCCTCTAAAATAATATAGAATTCAGTTTAATTTTTGTGAAATGTATAAGACTGCTATGAAAGCATAAGATATCTCTCCTCTGTTAAAAATTTGAAATACCATGAGAGCACCAGTAAATAATTAAAAAAAAAAAAAAAATAAAAAATACATCGATGCATCGAATTTTCCATCCGATGTATTATTCCAACATCGATGCTTGAATTTGAAAACATTGATGGACATCGGCATCGATGTTTTCATTCAAATTTACATCACTACTATTTTCTCAAATAAAAATAATGGATTTTATTGCTTTTAGCGTGCGGTCACTTAAAAAAAAAATGGTATTTTGAAAATAATATTCAATTATAATTAGTCAACATTTAATTCGTTCGTTGAACTTTATAACAAAGTAAATAAACTGAAAACTTTGATCCAATAAACTTAAAAGCTACAAAACACTTCAAACTTCTTATAATCTACAAAACACTAAGCTTCTTAAAAACTACAAAGCACTTAAAGCCTCTTATAAATTACAAACTATATCAAACTAATGAGATCCATTAGAATAGAACTAAGCAACATTAATTAATCCAGTAATTTTTTTGTAAGAATAGAAGAATGAATTAAGTGTTGACTAATTATAATTTAATATTATTTATATAACATGTTCGATTTGCGTTGAGTTAAATAAACGTACTTTGTTCAAAAATTTGAGTTGTTCCGTCAATAACACTTTTTTAGCGATAGTATCGATCGTATCGAATTTTCTTTCTTAAAATATTGAATGGGGCCACTATCGATATTTTGCCAGCTCTAGCTTGCAGCGCACTGACTTTGTCCTGCAATATTTTCACTGCTCGAGCCTCAAGAGGCTGAGCCGAGCAAATACGAAGTTGTGTAGTCTCTTCAGCGCATTTTTTTGTCGTTAAAAAAATGTGTTCTAGATGTCTAGTCTATGTGTTCTCTGGTTAGTGCTGGTAGTGATTATATCGTACTTTCCTAGATTGCAAAATACGGTCTCACTGACATATTGAAAAAGACTTAAAGAAAATACTCAATCCAATTCTAGTTTTATTTTCATTAGAACTATTTGAATTTATGAAATAATGTATTCAACAATCATTACATTCAGTGACTCCGGACTTCTTAGGTGCAATCGCTATAATGATTATGCCATGTATTTTATTTATCGATACGTACATATAAAATATGTAAACATTATTAGTAATAATATCGATGATTTTGCAACTTACACTAAGAAATTAGCGAAGTAGAAGCTCGATTTTAAAACGTAATATTTACCTCGATTCTTGGTAACAAATCAAAAATAGTGCGTCTTTAAGTCTGTAAGTTTCTCAATGCAAAAATACATCCATTGAAAGTTATATCTATATATATATCAGCAAAGCCTAAATGTGCTCTAGTGAGTGAATTTGTGTATATAGGTAAATGTAAGTGAATGAGTAGCGATGCAGCTATTTATTTACATATTCTTAAGTTATTCTTTCAGAATAGCTCATATTCAATAATAAAATTTGCACATATTTAAGGCTTTACGTATGCTAAGTGTTCCTCAGTCTATACGCTTATAAATATGTAAACATGCATACATTTCTACTTATGCATACTATTTGCAGTGCACTGTCTGAATGTAATATATTGCACGTATATACATATATGTGTATRTATGTATATCCGTGTGTATGTACGTAAATAAACGTCATTTTACTTATTTCGATAATTCATAATTCTAATATCTCAATTTATCACAAGTACTCTTTTGAATTTACTAATTGAACGCATATATGTATACCATGTGTACATGCATTTTTTACAGTTTATATACAATGGGTAATTGTCTAAAAATTAATAGTGCCGATGACATTTCGCTGTTGCGAGGCAGCGAAAGTTTTAGTGGGCAGGATGGTGGACCAACGCCAGTTTCCCAGGTAGGATCTTCGAATTAGTTATAAGTAAAAGAAATGCTATTTTTAAATATAATTGGTTTATTTCTGCAGCATGAGCCGATGACCCAAGTGTTTTATCCTACCTCTTCTAGCAGCCCTGGGGATGCTGCTGGAGCTGGCAATCACATGTCAGAGGAGGATCAGATAAAAATAGCAAAGCGCATCGGACTTGTTCAGCATCTGCCTATTGGCACCTACGATAGCAGCTCGAAGAAGGCACGCGAATGTGTCATTTGTATGGTGGAGTTTTGTGTGGACGAGGCTGTGCGATATCTTCCTTGCATGCACATCTATCATGTCCATTGCATTGACGACTGGTTAATCCGGAGCCTCACTTGTCCCAGCTGCTTGGAGCCAGTGGATGCCGCGCTGTTAACAAGCTATGAAACAACATAGCGCACTCTACACTGTTAAGAAAAACAAGTTTTTTTTTTTAAACTGAGAACTACATATATAATCGAATCGAACAAAATCAATAACTGTTAGCATAGCGTCAGACCGTATATTATAACCTCGCACTCGGGTCTTTCGATAAAAATGTCAACAATAACGGGTCTGTTCTTACTGCAACCTACAAACAAGTCAGATTACACAATTCTATCGAATGAATGGTCAACTAAGTTTGTGTTTCCATTAAAAAGGAGCAGTATCCTACTCAGTTCGATCGGAGCAGTTCGCCTTTGCTATCAATAGGGGAGGGGGGTTTTCTTATTATTATTACTGTTTTGCTGTAGTTAGCTTTTAATTGTTTAATATTTGTGTATCGTTGATTTTTATTAAACGAACATGAAGGATGAACAATTATTGAAATTTATATCAATGATAAAAGCGATGTACATATACATATAATTCAACAATTGTTCATACATACATATATATAATTCATTAAATGTGTAACCTTCTATACAACGTAGCTATAATTTATACAATAATAAATATAAATATTGATACCCTAAGTATTATATTTATTTAAATAGAAGAAAGTGATTGCTAGTTTTTTTTCATTATTTTGTCTGTCGTGTTTAAATAAAGAATAATCGCTAAAAGAGCTAAGAATTGTTAGA